ACAAATACATTTTAAAAAGTAAAAAAATGAGGAAACACAGATTAAAAAAAAAACCCACATCATACACCCAGTCTAATCGGGGCTGGACCTCAGCCATGAGGTCAACAGCCCCAGGCCTGCCGGAATAGCCAGGTTTTAATAGCCTTTCGGAAGGCCATGAGAGTGTGGAGGGTCCGGATCTCTGGGGGTAGTTCGTTCCATAGGGTCGGAGCGGCTACAGAGAAGGCCCTCCCCCGGGGAGCCGCCAGCCAACATTGTCTGGCTGACGGCACCCGGAGGAGGCCCACCCTGTGCGATCTTAAGTGCCCCGGGACACTTCAACTGTCATAAATATGAACCAGTTGCCAAGTGTCTGAATTTTGATTGCGTGGCCCCAGGGATGCTGCAATGGTCATAACTGCGAAAATCGTTCGTATATCACTTTTTAAATGTCGTATCGTCACTGAATGAATGGTTGTAAGTTGAGGACTACCTGTGTTAGGAGTTCAATGTTAGACTCCCAAACACCTGGGCCTGCTATTACAAAGGGTTGACCAAGGTAGCAGATACCATGTTACGCTGTGTCATTTCCTGGGCTTGCCTACTGCCTTTTAGGTGGGCAGAGGGCTTTGGATGACAGGTTTACATGCCAAACCCCGTTAAATGTTTTCATGTGGCATGGAAGAATATGCCATTTTTTTTCTTTGACGTTAGGCAAGAAATCTGGGGACAGCCCTTGTCTCCCCACCCTTAGTCTAAGGCCGCATCGTACTAAGCTACACTCCTCATTGTGTAGCTCTGAAGTTAAAAACAAAGGTACACAAACTTTTTCAGGCTGTGGTGTCAGAGAAAAATTTGATGTAGTTTAATATCAGTTAAACACAATTCATATGAGTACTTTCAATATATGTAATAACTTTCCCCTTATATCACGATTTTTTTTATTTTTTTTTGGAAAAGCTCTGTATGCTGAAGGCTTTGTGGAATTTACATGCAGATCTGGAGCCACACTAGTTGTGTACTCCTTGCATAAATATGGTGGGCATATGGTGGGCATTTCCTTGTCACCTCAACACAGAGCAGCAGTTGGCAATGTTTTTAGTGCTGTGGGGGGAGATTTATAATATTGATAATATACTATCGTAATGACATAGTAGAAGTGGTTGCTTTCTCGCAATCTCAGTTGGATTCTGGGTCCTTCCATGTAAGGATCTTGTGTAGTTCGGCAGGTTCATATGTGTGTGATCCATGCCAGCAGCTGGATTTAATAACATACCAATTTTATTTTTGCTTCAGCTGCGGTTTTCTCTGAAACAGCAGTAAAACCAATCCCTCCAATGTTGTCGCTCTATGGAGCTTGTGGGAGCTTGTCTCTCCAGTTCCTGAGGACTTTCGGGGAGAAAGATGGTGTGAAGCCCATCACGTTCCTTCCCTTCTCCCAGGAACTGTTTACGTTTCTTTGCATATGAACAAACAAATGTCACATAAAATAAAAACAGGAATGGGGGGGGGGGTTGGGTGAAAGACATTTTAAAAACTTTTGCATTTGCATAGTGTGCAAGTAAGGGCATCTGTGTTTCTCCAGGACCTCCAATAAGTAATTCAGGGGTGGGCAGTGATTTCTTATCCCTTTGCTCTCATTTTTTGCAAGTCCAGTACAAAAAAGCAGGGTTTGTGGAACATCTTGGAAGTGAAAAGAATGGCAGTGTGGAAGTCCTCATGGCTATTATTATTTTTTAATTTTTAAAAACGGGTTTAGTGGGCTTCAAAGGTAGTCAAAGTGAAGTGAGATAAAAGATCCTCAATATGAAACAGCAGAGCAGGGTTTTTCCCCCAGGAACGGAATCTGGCAGCAGATCTAGGGATGAGACATCTTTCCTACTAGGCATGCTAAAAAGCTTTTCAGCCCCGATTGTGCTAGCGACCTTACAGAATTTAATTAGTTGGAATGTTAACATAATGGAGCACATTTTAATTCTAGTTTCAGATTTGGAAGGAAGTAGAGTATGCTTCCTCTGTGACAGAAGAGACAAAACATTTGCATGTTATGTGAAATAAGTTTGTCCTTTCAGAACTTATAGATTTTCAGTGTCTATTGTAATTTTTGAGGTAAAATGTATTGATTTAGTTATTAAATTTATATGCCATCCAAAATGTTCCAATGTGTCGAGCAGGACTTCATTATGATTTTCATCTGTAAAATAACTTACCTAGAAAAATCTATACATATTAAAGATGGGCAGCCAGACTTCTGGAGATCCCTAAAAGCTTTCCTTCTAACTCTTAATCTAAATTATGTCTCTCCTTCCAAACAGACACATAATTAAAGTTATCAGGCTTTTTAAAGCAAGACGTTGGGCCAAAATGGATTTCAAAGAACAAGCGAAGCTTTTAGAAAAATCTTATCTTTACAATGCACCTCATTGGGCAGTCATTCCCATGTTTAAGCTGCAGAGGCTGGGTTCACACATCATATTGTTTCGAAACCGATCCAGTCCAACCACATAATGGTTAGTGTGATGTGAGAATCAGTCTCAAAGAGATATGAAGGGAAATGGTTGTAACTGCCAAGGTGCAAAGAGGTTTGTCAAAACTGCTGTTACTCAGCAGTTAAGAGGAATAGAACAACTTTTGGGCATATTTTGACAGATCATGAAGTGAGTCAACAGAGGCCCATGTTGCTTGGTCTATTAAATAGTGGAACTCACCTTGCTAGGTCTCTTAACCTGAAATGGTTACAATTTTTTTTAATGTAATTGTGCTGATTTTTTCTTTTCTTTTTTTTATGAAATAAGAGAACTAAAATCTTCCCTGTGATAATTTTGTCATCCAAACCAAGATATAAGATGAGGGGCAGATAGCAGACACGCCTCCTCTTCTACCAGTGTACATCCATGCAAATATCATTAATATAATTTGATACATATATTTGTGCCCTAACACTGAAAGCAGATGCGCAGGTTAGTAGTGACAATACTTTTTTTTGGAATTAAAACATGTCTCAGACTGCAAAATACAGTTCAGAATTCATTTTAGATCTGTCAACTTGTCAATACTTACTAGTGGGCAGAATTGTACAGGTAAAATTAGAGGAAATGTTGTGTGTGTATATAACTTAGAGCAGGGGGTACTCAATTCATACAAATATTCATTCTGTCTGTAAATGATACTTTTTCAACAAAGTCAGCACTACAAAACTTCACATTTTTTTCTACCTTGCTCCACTCTTGGAAAATATATTCTGTGTGTATACAGAGGTCGAGATTACAATCCTAACTTTCATGCCTTCTTTGTTGACAATGGTGGCAATACATTTCTAGAAACAACACAAGGTGTTTTTGTTCCCCCCCAGGATCAAATCAACAAGGACCTTCAATCTGGGAGACATGGGACATTAATCCTTCCCTCATGGTATCACCTCGCTTTCTGCCTCTTAGCTATAAAGAGTGAAAATGATATTAAATATGTGTTCTTTCATGGTTTAAGGGGCTATTTTTGTTAGAGAACTGGTGCTAGGTGGAAAGAAAACTCCTACTTCCACAACTGCCATTTAGATTAAAAGTAGATGTTAGGAACTTGGGTCATGAATTTCACATCTGGTTTTCTTTGTTTATATTTGGTCTTGCTTTTCATTAAAAAGAACCACCCAGGAATTTTGCATTTCATAGCATTTCATATGTATATTAAAAAAAAACCAAACCCAAACCGAACAAGAAAATCCGCAGAAAAAAAGGGAAGTGGAAACAATTTTTGACACAAAAAAAGTGGTGGTGGTGGGGTAGGATCAGTCTGAATCCTTATCCCAAATCTCAATTTCCACCCACAGAATTACACCCCCAACCCACTATCCCAAGCTGTCCCATCGGAAAAGAAATTCAGAAGCATACATTTCAGGGGACACACATCCGTCTGTCCTGTGCCCCCCCACCCAGCCCTCCCTCCCTTGCTGTAGTCTCAATTTCTTTATTCATTTCCCCCTTTAAAAAAAAAAAAACAACAACAACTTTGTTCATGTCTCTTTCCAGAAGAAGCATTCTGGAAATAATCTGTTCATTTGCCATATTTTTTTTCAAATATGGTTCTCCATGGGGTGGCCGTAATGCTGGCCAGTGATTAAGGCCATACTGTGGTGGCAAGACCGGAGGAGGGTTAAGACGAACAGTCTTCTTCAGTGGCAAAAGTAAACATCAGAGTCCTTTGGAGGGAAAAAAAGGTGGGGGAAACCCCAATCTCTGCACTAAATTCATCTGGTTCTTCCCCATATCCTGCCCCCAATCCCAGGCTCTGACTCTTTCATTTCCTGAACTAATATTCCCCCCCAGTTCTTTCCCTGACATGTAGCCCTCTTCAAGCGTCCCATTTGCCTTTCTCACACAATGCCGGCAACAATGCTTCTTTTCCAGGAATCATTCTCCAACATTTCCTTCCCCCTAAATCTTTTCTCCCAGCCCATGCCTCCCAATCCCATCCCATAAGGAGCACTCCATTGCAAACGGTAACCATGTCCATGTCAGCGGGATCAAACTCTATGGCTAGGAATTGGTCAGGTTGAATTTGGAGAGTTCCTGCTTCAGAAAACGCAACAACAGGGCGGGTGGGCCATATAACTAAGTATGAACTCAACCCTAAGTTTCTCCGGTTCCAAACCCCAAACTCTATTCATATTTTGGGATGAAGAGAATCAGGAAATTAGATTCTATCTTTTTCACTGCCCTTGCTAAAAATTAGGGGTAACATTTTCTCTCCCAGTTGTGTAACCAGTACACCCATATTGTCTTTTACAAGCTGTCTACCCGCCCCCACATTTTCCTAGGTCTGATTTCCATTGTAGGGTTTAGAACTAGGGTGCCTTTTCTAACTCAATAGACACCCTGTCCTCTTTCTATCAATAATCCAAAGACCAATAACTTGTCTGCTGAAATAATCCTGAAATATGGGACGCTGGATTTGGGCAGGTTAGCATCTTACTTAAAACTGTAAACATCTCCCAACAGGTGCAGAAAATGCTGTCGTATGTGGCATGGATAGGATTTACTGATGTTTCACCTGTTTTGAATGTTTGCAAGTAGGAATGGGGAGGGGCTACAGAAATACATAAACCTCGTTTGTTGCCTTTCATCTTAGCAGAGGGAATATGTACTATGAAGCTGACATCATGCCTTATGATTTCCACGCAGCCACCCTACATTCATCTGCAGCCTTGAATGCATTCTGCTTTGCATATCGATATATCGTTTCCCACTCTTAAGGGAAAGGTTTCTTCTCCCCCCACCACCACCGCTACAGGCCTCTCCCCACCAAATGCTTCTCCTGCATCTTCTTCCTTGCATTGTTCCAGAGTGACAGGGTCTACGGGGGTCTTGGATTGGTTGCTGCCATGGCAACTGAGGTGGAGTTTCCAAAGCTCCCTGGTTACTGCTTCTGACAGACGAAGAGCTAAGTCAAGGCTAACTCAAGGCTAGCTCCATGGCTTCCCCTTGAACAATTCTTGTCTGCTGCCTCCTTTCCTCCACACCCTCTCTCGGCCCGTTCCTCCGTAGCCCCACAAATTCTGAGATGACGTGGAATTTGTTTCATTGATGGAGTTACTGGATCAGAAAATTAATCTCCCTTAAAAGCACATTCCATCAATAGGGACCCCTTTTCATTGTCACCCTTTAGCTCCAAACAAAACCACTGAGTGCAAACTATTTCTGCTCCAGTAAAGTGGAATAGTTTTGGCTTCGCTCTGGGAGACCAAACCCCAAATATCTAACTCTGGCCTACTTTCAATGCAATGATGGGTATTAAGAAGCTAGGGATAGAGTTTTATAAGGGACAGTCTTAAATGATTTGATAGAGTTTGGGGATTATAAAACCAGGAAAGCATAGAATTATTTTTTTTTCACCTCTTCTGAGAACTGATGGGAATACTACTAGTGACCAAATACTGTTTGGCGTATGGCTCTGGATTTACCCCAGAGGAACACAGACCAGAATCCAGCTCTGGTTCTCATAGCAGCTAATGGATGGTTTCGAGAATTGCCCTTAGACAAACAGAGAGATCAAGAGTGTTTGTGATACAAGGACTCTGGGAGACACGTGACCCGTTGCAGGGGAAGAAAAACCTCATGTGACGTATAAGGAAAAAGAAAAAGAAATCCAGTTGGCGTGTGTGTGTGTGTGTGGGTGCATTCTAGCCAACCTTTTAGCATTCCTTACATCACACAGTAAGGCTCTCTGGGCAATTCAGGCTCTGTCCTCCAGCAGGGAATGTGGGCAATCAAGCCTTTCTTGAGGTCTTTGTTGAGTAGAAAGCAAACTATGGGATTGACAGCCGCTTGGGCAAAGCTCATCCAAACAGCTGTGGAGAGGTAGCGATGGGGGATGCTACAGGCTTTGACAAATACCCTCCAATAGCAGGCCACAATGTAGGGTGACCAGAGCACCAAGAAGAGCAAAGTGATGACGTAGAACATCCTGCCTAGCTTCTTCTCAGCCTTGAATTCTTCCATGCCCAGCAATCGCCGGTTGGCAGCGTGGGCGTTCTGCCGTATGCCCAACAATGTCGGAGGCATGGGGCCACGGCCAAAACCAGCAATCCAGTTGGCTGCAGCTTGCCCGGTGGCTCCAGGTCCATGGAACGTCCAGTTCTGGCTGATAGCTGGAACCATTTGGACAGGCTTCATCTTGCGATGGCGGTACTCAAAGAGCAGCAGCTTTATATAAACCACGTGAGTGGCAAAGATCAGCACGGCTAGCATCAGCATGAAGCCCAGGGTGTCGTTGGCTTTGAAGTAACGGTGCTCAAAGATGCACTGGTCTTCCTCGCGGATGAACTTGTAGGTCCCAACGTCGAAGACAGGCGGGAAGGCCATCGCCACTGACAAAGTCCACACCATGCAGATGACAGCGATGCACGTCCAGAAAGTCATGCGCTTGGCATAGAAGCGGTGGTGAGCCACAGCCATATAGCGAGTGACGCTGATGCAGAAGAGGAGAAAGGCAGCATGGAAACAGAAGAGAACAGCCATGAAGGCCACAATCTTGCAGCTCAGTACGCTGTAGGTCCAAGCAGAGCCGTGGCGGATCGAGACGAGAACAAAAGGGAAGCAGACAGCCGAGCGGATCACATCCGCCAGGCACAGATCCAGCAAGAAGTAATAGGGGGCCTTGTGGAGGCCGCGCTCTTTCAACACCAGCAGCGAGAGAGACAGGTTCCCGGCTAGACTCACACAGATGATGAAGCCCAGGAGTAGCAGCTTGGCGTAAGTGGACGCTGCACTGGGTGCTGAGCCATGGCCCTCTTCAGTCTCATTGGCGCTGGCCATCTTTAGGCTGGGGAAGAAAAGGGGGAACCTGGGTCAGCGGCAGTGTGCCTGGTGATGGCCCATGTCCCCGGTACTAAAGGGAGGCATTGTCTGTAAGGGGAAAAGTAGGGAGAAAAATACAGAGAAGAAAGAATTAATCAGTTGTCATAGACATACAATAACTTTTACTCACCATGCGGAAAGCAAATCCCTAAGATTTTTTTAATTCTGGAATAATCAACATCTCACTATTCAAATGAAAGATGACTCAGTCTTTATAGGAAAAATTGGTGTGTGTGTGTGTGTGGATTGGGGTGTTTTTTTAAAAAGAAAAAGACAGCAATAGCAGTTAGACTTATATACCGCTTCATTGGGCTTTCAGCCCTCTCTAAGCGGTTTATAGAGTCCGCATATTGCCCCCACAGTCTGGGTCCTCATTTCACCTACCTTGGAAGGATGGAATAGCAATAGCAATAGCAGTTAGACTTATATACCGCTTCATTGGGCTTTCAGCCCTCTCTAAGCGGTTTATAGAGTCCGCATATTGCCCCCACAGTCTGGGTCCTCATTTCACCTACCTT